TGTGTGTGTGTGTGTGTGTGTGTGTGTGTGTGTGTGTGTGTGTGTGTGTGTGTGTGTGTGTGTGTGTGTAGAAATGGCTGGAGGACACCTGTTCATCAAATGGCTGGAAGCATTCAAGTTCTCCTATAGTATGGAGAGAGCTGATTGATCGTGGAGGGAAAGGCATGCTGCTCGGAGGCTTCAATGATTTCCTTGAGCATGCTCAGGTTTGTATACAGTAGGATACTAAAATAAAACAGAAGAATCCATTTGTACAAAAAGTAATCAATTACTTATTTTACCTACATAAAAATCATCTTTAGTAGAAGATATAGTCGATAACATACACATTTTATTTTTTTATTTTTTTATTTTTTTTTACTTTTACATTTTTCTCAATCACTTTGGCTCATTTTTTGAAAGCGTTTTAACAGTGAGTTTTACTCATTTGAGAATTGAGCCAAAGCAATTGAGAAAAACTGTAATAGGACTCTCTGGGTGATGTGCATTGATGTTTTGCAAAGAAGATGTGCCAGATTTCATTCCAGCTCTAAAATTACTTCTACTAATTAAGACTACAAAATAAAATGTAAAATTAGATTAAGCCCCTCTGTTTTAGCTCATAGTGACCAAATCCGCTATTATATACAATAATTACATACTGATAAAAAATGTATAGCTTGAATGCACTGTAAGTCGCTTTGGATAAAAGCGTCTGCTAAATGCATACATTTAAAATGCATAAATTTATTATATTAATTCAGAACCTGATCAGTGAAATCACCCAGAGACCAATGCAACATGTGAGGTTTAGTTTAGATATTGCACGTTAAGATTACTTTTGTCCTCTTCTGCAGGGCTACTATGGCATCACCTCAGATATGAACTCTGATCTGATGATACAAATTGCAGCAGATAATCAACAAACTAGAGAACTGTGTATGGAGGAGGAAATCCATCGACAAAGATCTATCAGACCTCTGCACATCTGGATCAGCAGGTGGACATGTTTTTTCAGGATTTTTTGTCTCAGCATTTTCTTATTCCTCAGATGCACAATTTAACCTGAGAAAACCCTCTTTCAGTGCTCTGAGCCCCATCTGCTACAGCCTCATTCCTCAGTTGTTCACCCCGGAGCTGTTTCCAGGTCTCCCCACCTTCAGTCTTCACCTCATGGATGCTGGCGGCTCTGAGGAAATACTACAAGGACTCAAAATGGAAACAGAAGACCTTGCACTACATCAGCTCCACGAGGTCACTGTCCATTCAGACCAGACACAGGCATTTCAGGAAGCCCACTTTATCATTTTTCTGGATGACCTGCAGCCTGTATGTGAAAGTAATGATGAGCAGGATGACAAGGACCACATGGTGAGCCAGGTGGCAGAACGTTTTCGTTGCTATGGGCAACTTATAGAGGCAAATGCACAGAAAGACGTAAGAGTGATAGTGGCCGGAGACTCCTTTGTTAATCTGAAGTGCTCGTTGTTAATTGAGAACGCACCCTCTGTTAACCCGCACAACTTTGTGGCGATGGCAACACAACTAGAGTATGAGGCGAAAACTCATCTTGCACAGAAGTTGTTGGTGAAAACAGCAGGTATAGTAGCTTTTTTAAGTGTCGGTGCAAATATTTGTTCTAATATTCAATTGCAACAAAAGAAACAATATTTTTTTTTACATGCACAAGCTCATGAATTTTATTTTGGAAAATATACATTGATATATGGTATAATTCTATAACTTTTAATCAATAATTTATTATTAAAATAACAAAAATTTGTTTTATTTATTTACTGTCTTTTGTTGTTCATGTTCAAATTTTCCCTTTTTATTATGTTCACAGACATCACTAATGTCATTGTATAGGGAATTTATTAAAATAATTTAAAATAATAATTTTAATCAATAATTAAATTATTTATTTATTATTAATTTACTGTCTGTTGTTGTTCATGCTGAAATTGTTTCCTTTTTTCTATGTTCACAGACATCACTAAGGTCATTGTATGGGGAAACATCAGTGGCATTTACCATATTGACCTACAGAGGGCGAAGATTTTCAGATATGATGGTGCAATTTGGGGACCAGATGGTTTTTCTCAGCAAGTCTTGGAAATGATTTATGATTGGTAAATATCATTGTGGTGCATGACTCAAGCCATTTGGCTCTTTCATGCAATTCCATTTATGAATCATTATAAAGGGTATAATTTTATCAGTAAGTAAACAAAAAAAATCTACATACATACACGACATAACATGGTTAAAGTAAATAGGCATCTTCATTTGCATCACACATGCAAGTTCCTTACATATCGTAAATAGTCTAAATAGTTGTTTTATTTGTCACTCATGTAATTATGCATGTTTTCTTTTATAAGGAAATGGCTGGAGACAGATTTTATGAGTTTAGTACATAAACACCATACCACAATTTCGTCAAAAACAAAAAACGCCACAGCAATATCAACAACCAATGGAATAATGACCATTTTAAGGGCCTGGAATAATGATGCATCTCCGGAGGACGTCTTCTCGTTGGGTGTAATTAGTACAGGCAAGACCATTGGAATCATCCTCAAACATCAAATAAATATGGCTGTATATTTTATAGTTCATTTATAATGTATGTAAATGCATGATCAGCATGACCGGCCTTTGTAAATCTGCAGGGCAGTTTGGGATTCCAGCAGGTTTGGTGTTTTCTATGCCTGTGAGCTTCAGGAATGGTCACTGGTCAGTGTGCTCAGATGTTACGGTTACAGATGAGTTGAGGCTAAAACTTGATACTTGTGCTGATGAACTTAGTAAGGTGAGTACAAGAAGTTAAAAAAAAAAAATGTGTTAAATGCCAATGTATCGTTTGGTCAATATACAAACCTTTTTTTAAACAATCATACAACGTCTGAGATGCTCCAAGTTTAGCAAACGTTAGCAAAATTGCTTGTAGCGCCTTTAATTAACAAATTCTTCCTGGTAGCACAGTCAGCTTTAATGAGAACACATTGGTTAATCACATTGGTTGTTTTATGCATTAATTTGCTTTAGGAGAGAGACATTGCTGCTAGAATATTGAAGAAGGACGCATAACGGCTCTCCAAAAGTAGACTTCAGTGACTCACTCCTTCAGTAACATGACAAATCATTATTCTAATAAGAATATTTTATATATATATATATATATAGCTATATGGGTTAGTTAGAATCTGAATGCCTCAAATGACAAGTGTGATGACCTTGGCATATAAAAATGTTCAGCTCAATTCTTGAGAGACTCTTGCTGTTAGGCTTCAAGTCATGCCGTTTTACTGAATGTGGGAATAATGGATGGGTATGTACACAACACTTGACACATTTCTTTTGTTCATCTTTTTGCTAAATGTAAACATATGAGGCCTTCAAGTCAGAAATGTTGAAAATCACTGGATCAGAGGAAGAGATTTTAACTTAATTTCTGTGGTTTCAGTGGTTTACCTGTTCAAACCTTCCCACTGGAATAAAAAAATAGGTAAAACAGAAAAGGTACTGGTAATTTTCTAATTTGTTGTTTACGGTGTTATAAAACAAACCCAAAAATCTCTTGCTCTGGATGGCCAAAAACCTGAAAGGAATCTTCTAAATGCACCATGAAAGCACCTTGCTTTAAAAAAAAGCATCCGGCAAGAACACTTACATGACATTTTCTCTTAATACCGTAGACCTCTGTAATGTTTCCGTTCTCAGAGATTTATCATCCCCAATTATCGAGATTACAGTCACCAGTGCGACCATCTGCCTTGGCTTCTGCTGCCAGCTCATCATGCTCTTTCTTGCCTCAATGCCCACCGATTCTGAATGTGGTAAAGAATGTTACATATTGGATCCCTAAATGACACCAGAGGGTGTAAAGATGTGCTCACACCAATGACGATAACTATAACAATAAAGATTTAATAATCGTTCTAAGTCTATGAGAATAGGGAAGTTCACACCACAGCCATAATGATAACGACACAGGGGAATGAATTTGTTGGAATCACTTTCAAAGCAGGGTTTTTTTTCCCAGCTGATGAATGATAAAAACATTGAAAGCCAATCAGATTACAATCGATATTAGAGAGCTTGAGCAGATGACAAAACTACAGTGCACGATTATAATAAAAACAATGTTATTGTCCGTTGATGTGGACGCCAACGTAGAATTGGTTCTTTGTGTAAACGGGCATCAAATAAATAGCTGAGCCAAAAGTGAACAATTGCTTAAAATGGACTCCCTCTCAGGCCATCCAAGATGTAGATGAGTTTATTTCTTCATTGGAACAAATTTGGAGAAATTTAACATATCACTTGCTCACCAATGGATCCTCTGCAGTGAATGGGTGCCGTTAGAATGAGAGTTCAAACAGCTGATAAAAACATCACAATAATCCACAAGTAATTCACATGACTCCAGTCCATCAAGTAACGTGATGTAATGTTAAATTTCTCCAAATCTGTTCCAAAGAAGAAACAAACTCATCTACATCTTGGATGGCCTGAGAGGGAGTCCATTTTAAGCAACTGTTCACTTTTGGGTCAGCTATTTATTTGACGCCCGTTTACACAAATGGCCTTGGATGGCCTGATTGGACACCAGGATTGTCCAATTCTCCTATAGTTCACAATTTACATATCAGTTAAATTCAGTGAAAACAATGCCTGTTTTCAAATGAACACAATGCATTTGAAGTTGAAAACCAGCTTATGGGTGTATATTAGAGATATATGGAGGTCAAAGTCAGAGTAGCAAAATGACATTCAACAATACATTTTGTAGTTAAATGCTCTAAGTGCTTTTTTTATAGATCATAAAGCAGTAACAGCATGAGCAAAACAATCACTATTACACAAAGATAATCTCTCCTTAAATATCTGAAAACACAAATCTCTGCGGTCTGTATCAGATGTGTCAGCTTGAGGGTATCTACAGAAGGGACGAAATGCACTCTATCGTGCAAAGCAAAAACACCGTGTCCTATCCAAAAAACTGCGATGTGGCAAACAGTTTGTTTTTCCACATTGAAATAAAAAATACAATCACAGCAACGCGGGCCATATTTGCAACTATTTGGTGCAGGATTTTAGACTAATCAGATTTTACAGTGGGTGGGGCTTGAACATAATTCTAATTAAAATAGATTTTTTTTTTCACATTATGACTGGTTAGGACACAGTGTAAGAATAACTTTTGACTTTAAAGGAATGTCAGCCTGCCTCCAATCAATGAACAGATCTGTAAAACTTTCTTTGTGTGTGAAAGATTGGTGCATCCCGTTATAGGCCTTTAAATATATACATTGTTTTTATATACACATTTCCAGTTTTAAAGATATTTCCCTTTAGTATGATTAATAATTAAAAAATATATATCGGATCATAAAATCGTATTATATTCATTCGGTGTCACGTACTGTAAGGAGTCACTGAGACCTCTGACACTGACATAAAGAGAAATGAATAATCAAATTCTTTAAAAAATAAGCCCAAATATGCTATTAGAGCTTTACATTGTCAATTCTAGAAATACCTTGATGACTTATTGTGTACATCTTTCAATGATACATACAAATAAGGCTCAATCATTTGCTTAGGATTCCCCTCTTATGTGCATTTCAATTAAAATAATTCAGTCAAGCCCATGCACAAACTCCACCCAAACTTTGAACTGTTAAATTTTAGTTTATCATTTGAATTATATTTCAGGCAATCTGTGACCTTTTGATTTGATTTTTACAATGCAATACAACATACACTACCATTCAAAAGTTTAGAGTCAGTAAGTCACTTATGCTCTTCCTGGCTGCATTTATTTGATCAAACATACAGTAAGAACAGTCAAATTGTGAAATAGTATTACAATTAAAAAATGTTCTATTCTAATATTTTAGGTGTAATTTATTCCTGTGATGCTAAAGCTGAATTTTCAGCATCATTACTACAGACGTCAGTGTCACATGATCTTTCAGAAATCATTCTAATATGCTGATTTGCTGCTCAAGAAACATTTCTTATTATTGTCAATATTGAAAACGGTTGTGTTGCTTCATATTTTTGTGGATTTTTTTTTTCTTCAGAATTCTTAGATGAATAGAAAGTTCAAAAGAACAGCATGTATTTGATATAGAAATCCTTTAATCACTTTCAGTCAAATGAATGCTTTTTGATCCTTGCTGCATAAAAGTTCATACTTTCATACTTCATACTCATACTTCATAATTCATACTTAAAAAAAAATAAAAAATTACTGACCCCAAACTTTTGAACAGTAGTGTATTTGGTATGGTTATGAAAATCCAGAAAAAGTCCTGCAAACTTTGAGCATGTGCACACAAACAAAAATTCAAAAGAATCCAATTATAATATATTGAATGAATATGAACAGAGTTAAACTCCTAGTTATCTACATGATGTGGGGAAAAAATCAAGCACTAAGAATGGGGAATTTTTCTGACAGCTAGTGTGCTACGCTGCATTCACAATCAATTTTGTGTGAAAAAAGTTCTTTATAGATTATATTCTCAAAAACAAGTAAATGGCACATTCCAACAATCATTTCTAAAAACGATTTCAGACATTTTTTAAGAAGTTTAGCACATTTAATGAAACTTCATTATTTATTTGAGGCATATTTAATAGTAAACTATTCTTCACTTTAACCAATTTTAATAAATAAAACCATCCATTTCATAGGAATATATTATAGTTTAGCTATGATGATTAAAATAAATGTTTGACATAACCAATGTTTCTTTGAGAATTAGCAGTCATATCCTGCTCATCCTCTCCTTCCACAGTCCTAAAATTCAGCCCAAATGGCTTGTTCCCACGACCTGATGCATTAAACCTTAAGACAGGGATCCTCAAATCTGGCCCACAAGATCCACTTTCCTGCAGAGTTTAGCTCTAACCCTAATCAAACACACCTGAGCATGCTAATCAATATCTACAGGATCATTAGAAAATCACAGGTAGGTGAGTTTGATCAGGGTTGGAGCTAAACTCTGCAGCGCATTGGCCCTCCAGAACAAGATTTGAGGAACCCTGCCTTAAGACAACAGTCAGCGTGGGATTGATAAACCAGAGGGCTCTTGTCATCTGTCGCAGACATGTGGTCTTTGTCAAAACATACAGTAAATGATTAAAACTAAATCTATTTTAAATCGCTTTTGAAATCTTGAGTGGCTGGATTTGAGGCTGGAGGCTATTTGGATCTGTTAAAAAAAATATTTTAGAATTTGTGTCAAACATTTTACATTTTGGACATTCACCTGCTCAGGAAACAAAAGCCCACCAACAATCACAGTGATCTCACTCCTGAAAACAACAAAATAAAGGCATAGATGACCTTTCACAAATCTTTTGTCAGTATATGTATCTACATGGACTATAAATAAAATAAACAGTTTAGATGATGGGAAGCTAGGAATCCTGCTGGTCTGCATGCTGCTGACTGCTTGGGGGTGTGTCTGTGGAAGCCACACCCACTTCCTGTCCATCAACACCAAGGCCCAACCCCTCATCCATTTGTTCCAGTTCACTTTGGTCCAGAAGCTCAAAGTCCTCTTCCTCCGCGGGTACGAGCGTGAGATCCGGTTGCTCTTCGGTGCTTGATTCGGTGACATCACCGTCCTCTTCCTCATCCTCTACGCTGGCTTCTTGGGTTGATGGTGACTCGAGGGGCGATTCAATCGGACAAGGAGGCGTTTCGGAGGGAAGAAACGAAGCCAGGTCTCCTTCGCCTTCGCTGGCCTCCGTAGATCGCAACAGGGCTGAGAGAGTGTTCTGTACTACAGTAGAGATGGCTGTGCTCACTATCTCCTCACTAAGGGCTTCCAGGGACCGAGCGGGTCTCGAAACGTCCTCGGCCAATCCCCTTCCCTCTTTCTCAGTACCCACAATGCTTTGGTCTGCCCCCGCCGCTTGTCTGTGTCCATTGAAGTGCGTGTTTACAAAGTGGAGTGGAGATGCTAAGTGCTGGATGAGGAGGCTGGCCGGAGACAGCGGTTCTTCCTGGGACTCGGAGCTGGATGCTCCCGTCTGCTCAGACCCGAGAACACCCAACGGGAAATGGAACAGACCCGGTTCAATAGAAGGCAGCTCATCCACCGACGGGAACTCCGCTAGATCTTTAGAGAACGCCTCCTCCGGTTCACTGTGCACGCTCTGCTGATCCAGGTCTGCTGATGAAAACACAGGTAGTTTTGGAGTAAAACCATTAATAAAGCAGAATGTAAAGGCGTTTTTCTGTTAAAATAATTAGTAAGCCATTCTTGGTTGATTGTGTTTAAGTTATAGTCCTAGTAAGAATAATTAAATTATTTACTCAAATTCAATTTAAACAAAAAAGGTTTTACGAATTTACAGTTTTACACATAAATTTGATTTTGTGCAAGACAACTATTACAACAGCAATTTGAATTTACCTAACATTGTTTTTTCAAATTATTACTGGGGCTATCGCGGTGAAGGAATTTCCCTTGCGGTAATTTTGAGTGGCTCAATAGGTATTATCTACTAGTATGCGGTATTATCGCCATATATATATATATATATATATGTGTGTGTGTGTGTGTGTGTGTGTGTGTGTGTGTGTGTGTGTGTTACAA